CAAACACAGTTGCATAAAAACAATAAGGAGTAGAAATACACCTTTAAGAAACAAATGGAAGAAGGCAGAGGCAGGCGAATCTCTGTGAGTTCGACAGAGTGAGTTCCAGGACAGCCTCCAAAACAATACAGAGAAATCCTGTCTCGAAAAACCAAAAAAAAAAAAAAAAAAAAAAAAAAAGAAAGGAAGATTGGAAGATGAGGAAGGAAGATTGGAAGATGAGGTTGCAGAATTAAAAAGAAGCCAAATCAGATGCAGGCCCTTCACACCTGTAATCCCAGTACTTAGATGCAGAGGCAGGAGGATTGCTTCAAAGTGCAGCCTGTTTTACATAAAAAGCATTTCAGCCTGCCAAGGTTTCACAGCAAGGCACAGGGAACCTGATTTGAATTGTTATAAGCCATCATGAAGAGTTCCTATTAGGTTGTAGATTCAATTAAAATATTTTATTCAAAAGGACTACATTTACATTCTTTACAGTTTCTCTGTGTAGGCCTGGCTGTCTTGGAAGTAGCTCTGTAGACAGGCTGGACTTGAACTCAAAGAGACCTGCTTGCCTCCACCATGCTGGGATTAAAGGCATGCACCACGACCACCACCACCATCACACAGCACATTTACATTCTTAAAAACATGACCATTAACTATCCCTAGGGGAAAAGATAGAAGCTTCTGTACTAATCTAAAAGGTATTTACAGTTACAAGAATAGAGGGATGCACTCAAAGCATACACACCATATCAATATCCTGAAGAAGCAGGGTAGATGTGTTTATTACAGTCAACAGTACATATTTGCTGTCAGGAATGTAGAGGATTGCAACCACAGAAGACAAAATGTCACACAGGTTACTGACCTGTGTAAAAATTAAGCAACTGATGTCCAGTCATAAAAAAGGGGGATAATGTTAACTAATAAAAATGTCAAAAGCTTCATGATAGTTTTGAACATACTAAATTTGAGATATATGACACACATTCAACAGCAGTAAAGAATCAGAGTATCAAGTGTTTTGACAAATAACCTCAACAGCATCCCTATGAGTGAGGTATTTTCACAACTACTTATAATACTAGAAGGTGAACTCAAAAAGTTTGATCCTGTCCAATACAAAATTCTCCCGTTCACCAACAGTAACTTAGCAAATTGCCTAGTACCATAATTACGACTTCACATTTTCTGAATTAAATGTGCAATGTTTTAGCCAAAGGCATGAGCTGTGCACTTTAGGATAGTGGTTCTCAACCTGTGGGTCCCAACCCTTTGCCAAATATTTCAAAAAAAATATTGCATTAAGATTCATCAATATATTCATAACATATTACAATTCATAATAGGAAACTGACAGTTATAAGGTAGCAATGAAAATTTTATGATTGGGATCACCATTACATGAAGAACCATGTTAAAGGGTTGCATTAGGAAGGTTGAGAACCACTGGTTGAGGACAAAAATTAATCTGTGATTTATGATGCTGACTGGACTAAGCAAAAAGAAAAAAATCTATATATAACATATTAACAGTAGACAGACTATGAACTGATCAAACAGAGTTTAACTAAGAATGCTTACTTTAAAAAAATTAACTTATTCCCTTTTATTTAGACAAGGTCTTGCTGTATACCTTTGACTGGCCTGGAATTCACTAGGTAGACTGTCCTCTAGCCAGAAGAGATCTACCTGCCTCTGCCTCCTGAGATCTGGGATTAAAGGTGTGGGTCACCACACCTGGCTGATAACTTACTATTGTAAAAATCAAAAGCAGCCGGGCGCTGGGAGTACAGGCCTTTAATCACAGCACTCGGGAGGCAGAGGCAGGTGGATCTCTGTGAGTTCCAGGCCAGCCTGGTCTACAGAGCGAGTTCCAGGACAGCCTCCAAAACAATACAGAGAAACCCTGTCTCGAAAAAAAATCAAAAAATCAAAATCAAAAGCAGCATTTAGCAGAGAAAAGGGATGATTCAAAGATATTTCATGTTGGCACTAGGCTTGCTGTTGGACACCCATCATCTTAGCACTTAGAGGCAGCGGTAGGAGCATCTCAAGTTCAAAGCCAACCTGGGATACACAGTGAGACCCCATCTCAAGAGAACAAGTCAAGGACTGCAGGGTGTAGGTAAGAGGTAAAATGCTTCCTGGCACTTGCAAGGCCCTGGTTGGATCTCCAGCACTAAAGAGAAGGAGGGAAATCAGCACTTTTATATTTTAAAAGTCAAGATAAATGGAACATTATAAAACAAATAATGAAAAGAACATGGAAAGGTAAGCTCAGTTTTCTTTTTCTTTTCTTTTTTTCTTTTTTTTTTTTTTTGGTTTCTCTGTATTGTTTTGGAGGCCATCGGTCCAGCCCGGCCTCGAACTCACAGAGATCCGCCTGCCTCTGCCTCCCGAGTGCTGGGATTAAAGGCGTGTGCCACCAACGCCTGGCTTATAGTCCATATTTAAAAACAAGGAAACGGAAGGTACAGAATATCTAACAAACTAGTTCGAAGTCACACTGCTGTTAAACAGCAAGTTTGATATTTGAATTCAAGTAAATCACTCAAAATTCTACTTAACACCAAGCCTCCTAAGGCTCTAAGAGAACAAAGTGTCAATGCAAAAGAGGTTTTATTACTGAGCCCAGGTTGCTCAACATTTAGACTGGGGGGGGGACGTGAGGGAAAGACTAAAAAGTTAAGCAGAAAACCAGAAAAACTTTGGAGACCTAGAACCCTATAGATAAAGCACAGAAGAAAAATTTAAGACCTCAATTAAAAAATGAATGAGGAATTGATTTTTGGAATTGGTAAATCAAATCAATAGTGAATTTGACGGTATAAATTATCTTTATAAGTCAAACTGAATTTTTTCAGAATCCATGTCTAGCAGTTTTAACATATTTTCAACTCAGCAAGGATTTATTCAAATATGACTGGATCAGCGAACAAACAAGGAGCAAAATAAAGAACACAATGATATCTAATGCTTAATTTAGTACAGACAAAAATGGTGAAAATCGTAGGAATTTCAGGAAGGTGAAAATCACAATAGTTCTGAAACACAATGTAAACACCCTAAGAGACATTAAACAATGCCTAAAGACTTTCAAAATCATGACTGGCATCTACTGAGTAAAGAGCAAAGCCAAAGCTAACACTTCACTGTATAGAATATAATCCTTAAGAATTTTATCTATTCCAAACTGTCAGTAATGTTGCTAAAGAAACTCCAGGTTGCAGGAATTAGCAAATAATTGGAACAAGTTGGATTCTAAGTTGACCTTAAAGCACGAGGACATATACTATGTAGAAAGATTAAATAACAGGAGTGAAAACGTAAGGGCTAGGAGGGGCCTGAGTTTGAAATGGGTGGCATGGGTAGCAAGAACAGGGTTGTAACATTAAGAAATCCATCTGGGCCAGGAGGTGGTGGCGTAACGTAACCCTCTAATCCAGCACTGAGGAGTCAGAAGCAGGCCAGCCTGGTCTACACATCTACACAGAGAAAGAAACCCTGTCTCGAAAAACAAAACAAACAAAAGAATCTGAATCCAGTGCAAATGTGAGCTCAAAAAAAAAAAAAAAATTAGAAGGAACACCAATATTAGGCCCTGAGCTCCACTCCCTGCACCACAAAAACAAACGAGTCAGCAGAATATAAATGTGACTGATTAACAGGAAGCAAAATGCCATTACAACTAGATAGAGGAGCCAGGTATGGTGACACACGCCTTTAATCCCAGCGCTTGGGAGATTTCTGTCTCAAAACAACAACAAACAAAAAAGTAGATACAGGTAAAAGTCCTGGGAACAGAAGCACCAAATATTGTTTTATATTGATACAGTAAGTTGTAAAACTGCCAAGGAACAGCAATGCAGTGGCCTTCGTGGTTGTATTTCTTAATTCAATGAACACTGTGTTCAGTACGTACTGGTGCTACGCACTTAGTAAACACACTTTTCTAATTCATTACTTATTTAGCATTATTGATGATTTCTACAGCTCCATCCACTGCTCAGATTAGGGACATTCATTTAAATCGCTATGCACCAAGCAGGAAGTGGCAGTAATAGAATTCCCAGTGAGACGCTATAAAGAGTTCAAAGAGGAAAATTTAAAATTCACCCCTCATAGACAGAATTCATAAAGCAACTCTCACACGTTATCCTCACATTGTTTTACTATTGGGATGGTTAAAATCAGTCTTGCGGGCTTGGCTACGGCATTGGTTTGCTTTCATTCTAGTTTGTTGCCAGTGTGGACCTACATGAATTCATCAACCCAAAATTCTCTTTCAAGAAATCTCAAATTCCACTATTACCTTCAGGCCAGTAAGAGACACTTAACCTATTTAACGGGTATGATCGATTTCCAACACCAATGATTCAACGAACAACAAAAATGGAACAGCTGGGACCCCTTCCTAGATGCAAAATGCTCTTCCACCCTCCCAAGGCCCAGCCTGAGGAAGGCATCCCAAAGGTTCGCGTCTTCACTTGCGTTCCAGCTGTGCCAAGCAGTGCATCCTCATCTCCCCCAGTATTTCAATCTACCCGTAACCAGACGGGTCATAAGAGCCACTCAAAAGCCCCCTGAGCAACCTTACCCAAAACATTTTACCAGTTCCTGGGGCTTCCCATTGGGCCAGGCAAAATATTTGTGAGATGGGGCTTATACTCAATGTGCTCACGCCAAGATAACGCCCCAGCCCTTCGCTCCTCTCCAGAAGCCCAGCCCCAGCGGCGGATGGCTTCATCGGCGGCTCCTCCCGTGACCGACAACCCTTTACCCCAAATCCCTTAAGCAATTCCCCCGAAGCCCCCCGAGTCCCGTGCCAGGGCCCAGGGGAGGGGTGCTTAGACCCATTTCTTTTCCGAAGGGGATGAGCCAAGCCCCCAAGCTTCTCCCGACTCTGAACGAGGGACCCCAGAACGTGGGGTTCGGCCTTGGAGTCCAGAACGAAGGCGGGGGGTGGGCGGCGTGGGCTCCCCGGTCTGGCGGGCGGCGAAAGCACTTACCAACATCCTGGTCGAAGGGATTGGTGGCAAAGAGAGGCATGTCCGCAGCGAGCCGAGCTGTCCCCGGGGACTGCCCCCTCGACACCGCGGGAGTCAAGGTGTGACGGAGAAAGGAAGCCCCCTCAGGTACGAGCGCCGCGACGGACACAGCCTCCACTGGGTCCTCCTCGGCCCCTCCTCTCACCCACCCCCGGCGACAGAGGCGGCGGCGGCGGCGGCGGCGAAGCGGCCCAGGCCCCCGCGCGCGCGGGGCGTGCCGGGAAGCGAGGCGACCTGAGCGCTGCCTGCTCCGGGTCTGACGAGAACCCTGCCCTTCCGCCGAGGCCCGCGCGGCGACGAGCCCCCTCCTCTGTTGCTCTCCCACGTGTCCGCGGGGTTGGCGGCTGTGTGCTCGGCTTCTCCCTGGCCCGCGCGTCTCGTGAGGACGAGGTCCTTCAGGCGCGCCGAGGCCGACTAAGCACCTCTAGAGTGAACCCGACGCTGGGAAAGAAAGAGCCTTCGGTGTGGGTCCCGCCGAGCCCTCAGCGTGCGCTCCCGGGGTTCATTCGATGGGCTGCTGTCCCGTTGTAATCCCTCTAGAAGGTCGGGCAGCCCTCTGGGCTATCCGAGTCAAATGCTCAGTGAGCCCGTCTGCGGGGACGAGGAAGTGACCGGGACGGAGTCATGTGAGCTGGTGGAGCTGGCTGGAATCCCTTGGGAGGGAGTGTCAAGGCGCGCTGTCTCTGGAGAGGCTGAGGTAGCTAACGCTGGCTCCTTCCCCAGCCTGCGATCAGAGGGAAGCTTTCCGGGTGTCAGCACCGACTGACTAAAGGTGTAGTCACCGAGCCGCCTGAGTGACTGGAAGATTCGTTCTCCGCAGCCCGAGATAACCACACACACCCAACAGCAGGATAAACAAAACGAAAAATGGAACCAGACATTGATGGGGGGTTCTTGGCAACTTAAATTGTTGATTTGGTGATCTAGTCTGTACATTTGTATCGCACACACATACACACTGCCCTCTAAATTATGTGGAAATCTTAAGGATCATCTCTTGAAAATATTACGTAAAGTTAGAGAGCTCGTCTTGCACATACTGTGAAATTATGTGAGGTATGCCCAAATAGAAACACATAAATGTAGCCTATACACAGATACATGACAACAACAGGATTGGTATGACAGTACAAAAAAAATGCTTACAAAACTCAGTTTAAAATGAAGTCAAATTGTGAAGAGAGATAAGCAAACAAAGAATCCAGCAGGCGGTGGTGGAACACTCCAGCACTCCACTAAGGAGGCAGAGGCGAGCAGATCTCTGAGTTTGCGTCAGCCTGATCTACAGAGCAAATTCCAGGACAGCCACGGCTACAGAGAGAAACCCTGTCTCAAACAAACAAGACATAAGAGGGTCCAAGGATTGTAGGGATATATTACTTACGATTTTTAAAGCTTGCCTTTGGGTTCAGAAAGCAAACTGCCACAATCCATAGAAACCAGGCACACACCTTTAATCCCAGCAGCCAGAAACTTGGGGGTGGTGGTACACGCCTTTAATCCTAGAACTGAGGATTAAGAGATAGAGGGATCTCTATGAGTCCAAGGCCACCCAGATCTACACAAAAGTGAACCAGTCTAAAAGAGAATTATATATCACACCTTTAATCATGACATTAGGGAAATATTTAAGACAGAAACAAGTTCTGAGAGAGGCATTCATTCTCCAACCATGCTGAGGAGAGGTTACAGTCTGGGGCTTGTGAAAGCTTGTGGAGACAGAACCACCCAATTAGGTCTGAGGTAGAAGTAAGAAGCTAGTGGCCAGCTGCTTTGCTTTTCTGATATTCGGCTTGAAGCTTGAACCCCAATATCAGTCGCTGGGTCATTTTTTTTATTCGTGTTACAAAGGATGGGGACTGTAAAATTAACATAATATTCCTAAGAGAAACTATGGGAAGTATATAAGGAGCTTTGGAAAATATGCCTTTGATCCAACTGTTCTGATTTTTAGAGCTTACCTAAAGACATTCTTTAAAAACATAAGTCCAGATGCTAATGGCAGCATTATTTATAATATCTAAGCACTGGTAACCTAGAATGTTCAACGTTGAAGAGATTGAACAAACTCATCTCTTAGTATCAATTTCCTCATTTATAAGAAACAAATACTAAACTACAGAGGGTTGGATAAATTAGTAGAGGCAAATCCCCTGAAATAGTACCTGGCATATAGTAAGCATTCTAGTGCAATCAGTAGTTATAATTGTACTGCTTCTCACAGCCAGAAACGTTAGAGCTAGCTAGCCATGGGCTGAGACCTCTGAGAGTGAGCCAAAGCAAATATTTCTTCCTTCTAGTTGCATATGCCAGGTATTTCGCCACAGTGATGAAAAACTAACAGAGTAAGGTATGATTGATTTCAAAGATGAACCAATAGCAGTACAAAACTGATCCCAAGGAGACAGGAAATGTGCATCAAGCCACGTAACAGCCAATAGCTTTCAGCCCAGAACCGTAGTGTAGAACCCCAAAAATAATCCAAAATGGTCATAATGTACTAAAGAGAAAATTCAGAATTAGGGGAGGCCAAGGGACCAGTGCCCAGCCCAGTTTGGAGGTTTCAGCCCATGCTCATTCATTCATTTTTTTTTTGAGGTAGCATATCTTGGCAAGAGCAGGTGGCAAAACAGAATCACACATTTCCTGATAAGAAAGCAAAAGACAGAAAGTATTGGAGTTTCACTATGTCCTCTCCAGAGCTCCAGTAACCTATAAGATCTCCTGGTAGGACCCACTTCTTAAGATTTCTACCACCTCCCAATAATGTCAAGATGAGGGTCAAGCCTTTAACATGCTGACGCTTGGGGGACACATGGCCCAAACTGTAGTGTCCAAAACTGCAATATTTTTTCTCAATATATTTTTTATTTAAATTAGAAACATGTTTGCTTCACATGTCGATCCCAGCTCCCTCTCCCACCCCTCCTCCCTTGCCCCTCTACCAGCCCTTCCAGCCCCGCACCTAATCCCCACACCATTCCCCAGGGAGGGTGAGGCTCTCCATGAGGGATCTCCAGAATCTGTCACTTTATCTGGGGCAGGGCCTAGGCCCTCCCCCATGTATCCAGGCTGAGAGAGGTTCCTTCCATATGGCTCCCAAAGTTCATTTGTATGCCATGGTAAACACTGATCTACTACTGAAGGCCCCAGAGATTGCTGAGGTCTCCTCACTGACACCACATTCAGGGGTTCTGGATCAGTCCCATGCTGGCCTCTCAGACATCAGTCTAGAGTCCAAGAGCTCCCCTTGTCAGGTCCACTGTCTCTGGGTTTCACCAGTACGGTCTTGACCCCTTGGCTCATCACTCCTCCTATTCTTTTTAATGGACACCTCTATAGTGGATCATAGTTACAGCATCTAACAAACTAAAATAATGTTCAATCAAATCAAAAATTCACTGGATATGTGAAGAGAAATGTAACTCATAACCTTTTTTCTTTTCTTTTTCTTTTTTTTGAGACATGGTTTCTGTGTGTAACAGCTCTGGCTGTCCTGGAACTTGCTTTGTAGACCAGGCTGGCCTCGAACTCACAGACATCTGTCTGTCTCTGTCTCTCTAATGCTAAGATTAAAGGCATGCACCAACAACCTGTGTTACAAAAGAATAAAAACAAAACAGTCTGCAGAAACAGGTCCTGAAATGAAAGGATGTTTCAGCTATCATAGTAATTTTTTTTATTTTATTTTATTTTTGATTTTACATATCAATCCCAGTTCTCTCCCCACTCATCACGCTCCCCCCACCTTCTCCTCACCCCACCACACATTCGATTCTCAGAGAGGGTATGGTCTCCCATAGAGGGGGTCAATGAAGTCTGTCCCATCACCATGTTCAGGCCTGACCAATGCCCTCCCCACTGTGACTGGGCTGAGCAAGGTATCTCTCCATAGGAAATAGGCTCCAAAAAGCCAGTTCATATACTAGGGATAGATCCTGGTCCCACTGCCAGTGGCCTCATAAACTGCCCAACTCACCTACTGTCACCTGCATTCAGAGGGTCTACTTCCTCAAGGCCCAGCAAAACCACAGTAATGTTTAAGAGCTGCTATAACTATACTCCATGTATTCCAGACTTTAGAGAAAAGAGGGAAAGATATGAGATATGGTATAAAAAAAGAAAAAAAAGAAAGGCCAGGCGTTGGTGGCATACGTCTTTAATCCCAGCACTCGGGAGGCAGAGGCAGACAGATCTCTGAGTTTGAGGCCAGCCTGGTCTACAAAGAGAGTTCCAGGACAGCCTCCAAAATAATACAGAAAAACCTTGTCTCGAAAAACCACACACACAAAAAGAGCAAATGGAAATTGTAGAAGTGGAAAACAGTATATAAGAGTACATGGATCATAGTTACAGCATCTAACAAACTAAAATAATGTTCAAGCAAATCAGAAATTACCGGACTACAAGGAACTCACTTTAAATATAAGAATACCCTGTGACATGAATTGGAGATGACTTGGTAAAGTGCAAATGTGAGAACCTGAATTAATTCCCCCAAAACCACATAAAGAGAAAAGTATAGAAGTTTGTGCTTATAATTCCATGCTGGAGAGATGGCTCAGTGGTTAAGAGCACTGACTGCCCATCCAGAGGACCTGGGTTCAATTCCCAACACACACATGGCAGCTCACAACTGTCTGCAACTCCAGTTCCAGGGGACCTGACACCCATGACAAAGAACCAAGGAATATGAAATTGAAAAAAATTAATCAATTAAAAAAAACAAAAAATAAACGTAATATTTTTATTGATTATTTGGGAATTTCACACAATGCACCCTGATCACACCTGCTTCCCAGTCCTGCCAAGTCCACTCTTCCACCCTTGTTTCCTCACCACCAAAAAGAAAATACACCATGTCTGATCTGTGTTGCCCATATACTCATTGGAGCATGGTCAAACTCCCAGTGGCCAGCCCCTCAAAGAACACTGAGTTCTTCCCCACCCCTAACCTCCACACCAGTCTCCCCAGCAGAAGCCATCAACTGTGGAGATCCATACTTCAGCATCCCTGTCACACTTATAAATTCTCTCTTCAATGGCTTCCTGTCTAGACTGGAGTTTTTTTGATGTGTGTGTGTGTGGGGGAGTTGTCAGAAAAGTCTTCAGCGTTGCTCATTTTCAACTGTGAACTGTCACCAAAACCCCTGCAAGAGAAGTTTCTTTGCCCTTTACAGTCAGCAGCAGCATGGCTCTTGGACTTCCATATGGTTTCTGGCAACAGCCCAGACCACAGACATTCACACACCTGCAGCACAGACCACAGACATCAACATGGTCCTTGGTCACAGTGCAAGCACCCTCTCTTAAACTCCCTTCTCCACCCATGATCCTTTTTTATCTTTCTGATTTCTGTCGTTACTCCAGGTTACTCACATATGAAGATTTAGAGCTAAGGAACCACAGATGAGCAAGAATGTTTGTGTGGGGGGGGTGGGTTTCAGGGTCTGTGTTAGCTCATTCAATATTTTTTCTAGTTCTATCCATTTACCTGAATTTCATTATTTCTTTTCAAAAATAAATATTGATAATAAATAATAGAAAATTAAGATAAAACAAAAACTAATACATTGGAATAGTACAAAACAAGGAAAGGAGCTCAAGAAAACACACAAGAAAAGTAGATTCAGAACCCTACTCATTCACACACTCAGGAATCCAATGAAAACACAAAACTGGAAGCAATAATATATACACAAGGGACCTGAGGGGGGAGTATATAAATAAAATACAATTTAAAAAGAGAA